GCTCAGTGGTAGAGCGCTTGCCTTGCATGCTCGAGGCCCTGGGTTCGATTCCTCAGCACCACATAAGCAAAAAGAAAAAAGCTGGAAGTGGCACTGTGGCTCAAGTGGTAGAGCGCTAGACTTGAGCTGAAGAGCTGAGGGACAGCGCCCAGGCCCAGAGTTCAGGCCGCACGACCGGACCCAAAAAAAAAAAAAAAAAAAAACTCCAAGTACAACATCTGAATATCCCAAAATAATAGAGTGAATAAGCAGAAGAAGTTTTTAAGATGTTTGCCTTTGGCATGAGGTTTAAAGTTTCCAGATGAATTTACCTTATGAACTAAGCTGAATTTCGTATTACAATTAGGTTCATTTCCTGAATATATATTAGCCAACAAAGAGGTGACTCAAAGAAATCAGCAATTCCTGTCAAAGGCACCTGCTTGCTCACCTGGCTTGCTTTCGTTAGTAATGGTATGTTCATTTTGTGGTGAATGAAATCCTTTGTTTTTTAAAGATGATGTGATACAGGCAGTTCTTTCTATTCTGATTTCACCTGGCTTACAAAGACTCACTTGCAATCACAAAGAGGGCTACTAAAAACTAATGGTAATAGAATATCTATGAATGAAATAAGCAATGTGATATTTAAGGCCATCAGCGGAAAAGCAAAAATGCTCACATTAGTGAAAAAGAGGAGGATTTGGCACAAATATTCCAAAGATACATGTATGGAGTCTACATTCGCATCATTGCGAATGATATGTAGTCTGAGATGAACATATTTCTGGGCAATAAGAATACAGAAATTTAATTTTGTTTGGTTCTTGTGTTTTTTTTTTCTGTATAATCCAATTTTGCTTTTACAATCAGAAAAAAATAATGAGATTTACCAGGATTTGAATATAAAGAAAGTTACAGATATTGATTCTAATCACTAGCTATGAATCTAACACATGTGGCTGAACGGAAGCCCAAAGTGAATGGTTTTTGCATTAAAAGGCAATCAATGAGTATTTCTGCATGTAATAAATATCTGACTGGTGCATATTATAGGAATGGTGGTAGCATGTTGGTAGGTCAAGAGCCAAAGTACTTTCATTTGACCTCACAGTCCTAAATTTCTTTGGCCATTATACATTATAAATATGACAGATGTGGTACTTACTTTTGGAAGCTTCAACTAACTATAGAACTCATTAGGTAGAGGGAGAAATATAGCCTTAGTAGTAATGAAATACTAAAAATGCGACAACAACAAAAAACCCAACCCCAATATTGATGTTTTATTCGATCCAAAATCAGTGCTTATTATTTAGTTGTGAGTTATATTTATACATCACAATGGCTAAGTTTCTTTGGTGAATAGAACATCTTATATTTTATCCAAGCTGCTAGCATGACAACAAAATACAAGAATTCAAAAGCCATATAGCTTGATGTCATTGTAACCATCACAGTATGCAGATGGCATTTATAACCATGTTAAGCAACTAATCCTGGAGCACTGTTATGTGGCCTACAATAGCATGTCTGCAGACTTACAGCTTAACTAAATATGTGCTTTTTGTCATCTTTTTTTTTGGTAGGCCATGAGGCTTGAACTCTGGGCCTGGACCCTGATCTCTTCAGCTCAAGGCAAGCATTCTACCACTTGAGCAACAGCGCCACTTCGGGTTTTCTGATGGTTCACTGGACTTTCCTGCACAGGCTGGCTTTGAACCAGATCTCAGCTTCCAGTGTCACTAGGATGACAGGCGTGAGCCACTGGCGCCCGGCTTGTCATTCTTAATTGGTATCATTTTGCTCTGAACTAACTCCGTAAGTACATTTCTACATAATCTCAGTACCTCAAGATTATATCATCCCTCAATGAATGAGGAAGAGAAAATGGTAAATTTTAATCCTTTTAAATAAAACAAAGCAGGAAAAAAAAACTTAAGAACTTGAAACTCATTTTTAGGATTATTTCTGCAATTGATTAAAAACTAAATGCTGAATAAATATTTAAATGTTTTTCTTACCCAGAGGCTGCTTTGCATGTAAGACCAAATGGCAAATTCTGTCAGTACAACTGAACTAGTCAATCAATCAACACTCAAGTTTACAATTTCAAAATTGTTCTCACCTCTATGATTGCCTTCATCACCAATCCAGCTCCCTTTATAATTGCCAAGGAAGGATGCTGTAAAATGGAGGAGAAAGTACCCGTGAACAAAAACCAAGGTGACTCTGACACCTGCAGTTGCTGCTCTTCAAGAGCAAAGTTATGAGCCAGAAATTAGGAGGGGAGACACATCAAAATCACAGCTTGGTTAAATATTTCAGGTGTTATTACCACGTAGCTTTTCAGAGACCCGTTATGCAAATATCAGTTGCACACATTAGTAAAAAACAGGGTGACACGCATACTGCAACAGGCACTCAGAAACTGCTTTTTTTCTTCTGATTTGGGACTGCAAATATCCAAAGGGTAACTAACAGCAGGATAAAAGTTGGGTGCTTTTGTGTCTACTGCGATGAGCCAGGACCAACAGGACTGGTGGATAAAAAGGAGATGAAGTTACTCCTGCCGGGCAACAATGGCTTTCTTATTGTAACCAGGCCCCGTCTGATCAGTCCTGAGGTAAGAAGCAACCAGACAGTAGCTCTGAACACTTCAGACCACATCTATGACCTAGACTGTTTAATAATAATACTTCATACCCCCCTTGCCAATTCTTTCTGTTTATACTTAAAGCTCAAGTCTGGACTGTGGAGATGGACAACAGTGCTGCTTTGCCCTTGTCTTTACTCTTCCTGAGGTATCCCTGACAGGTGAATAAATTTCCCTTCCCTCCCCTCCACCACTACTTGTTTCTTTATTTGGCCCGCTGAGGTGAGTGGCTGGACCTGACACGTGAAATCCAGGAGTTGGGTCCCTTAACCTAGGACTGCAGCCGCAATATGAATATACAACTATCTGAATAACAATAATACTTAATTAAACGATACATACTGAATTGAAATGGGTCACAAAATAACAAAAAAAAGCATCTATGTACACAATAAATAGGATGCTATTGTATGGAATAACTGATGTCCTTCCAGTGTTTATGAATAGTCCTGCTAAGACTCATTATTTGGGAACTTGTAAAGAAAAGAGAACTTCAAACCAACCACAGGGAGTGGGGGGAAGTATTTATCACCAAATCTAAGATGGAAAAGATGGGCAAACTAGATGAAACAGTGGTCAACAGCCATCAGCAGGGCTCACGAAGCATCAAGAAACCTGAGAGCAAACACGTTGTGATGTGGCATTGTGAATGGCCACACTCGTCATTACAAGAGAAACACACATTATTGGAAAGATTCTGACCAGGCTGGTAGAACACTTCAGTGTGTGCAGGGTATGGTTTAAGCTAGCCAGCGCAGCACAGGGGAACAAACCGACAGACTCCAAAAGTGCTCCTCTTAAATTAGTGGTCATTTGGTAAGAAACATTCAAAGTCTCACCTGAAAGAGCTTAAAGAGGGTTCTTCCATTGGAGGCTACCATCTCTAAGAGCATATCAAACTGCTGCCCTTCGGTTGTCTCACTGTACGGAGCACACAGGGCAAAGGTAAGGAAGTCCAAGAGTGAACTAATAACTAGGGCTCCAGTCCCATGATCCTGAAACAAAACAACACATGGCCTTAAAGACTCAGACACAGGGAGCTTTCGGCTAAAACACAAGGACACCATGTGCTTCTTTCGCTTACTTCTGAATGTCACGTGTAAACACTGACTTCGGTTTCTCAATGTGAGTGAGGTTCCAACTTTGGTGAGCCTAAGCAGTACTTCCTACAACCCTGGCAGCCAATCGATGGCCCATCATTCTCCAAGGCAACATAAGCAATGTTCAGGTTTGTAGACTTCTCAAATGTATGCATTAGCTGAAGTTAGTATGTATTGGAATAAAAACAGTCTTTGAAAACACTGCAAAACTGTAGCAATTTGCTGATATTCCTGCTAAATGTTATAGAATTTTCATCTCTGAAACTGTTACCATTAACAGAGGAATTGATAGTTAAGGGGAAGCTCTGACTTATTTTTAGCAACGTTTATGTCAGTGACAGTTTTGAAGAAAAATGAACAGAAATTTAGAATATCACTATACAAACCTAAAGGTTTTGCAATGCATGTGTTCCCAAGGGGATGCTTTATTGAAACAAAATATTGTATTGCCAGTGACTGAGCTGAACTATATGAACACTAGTAGGCCAAATTTTACCAAATTCAGGGGCCACAACAAAAATAAGCCCAGGTTACACTTCCAGAATGCCTGTCAATAATCAAACAGTATCTTCCAAATGAAGACACATTGTTTTCATAAGGCAATCTTTTGAAGACAAGTTTAATGACCACTTACCACATGGGAATTAAATTTCTCCAGTAAGTTTTCCAGAAACTTCTTTGAAGAGAGAAGAGAAGCTTTGTTTAGCTGTTCTTGTCTTAAGTCATAGTCATCATGCATGGGCTATTGATTAAAAATAGTGATAAGGCATAAGCAGTCTCATGCTGGCAGCACACAAAAAGTCATTTGAGTATTTGCTACACCATGAAAGACGCAAAACGTAGTCTTTAAAGTGCAAGGCAGATAGGGGACTCGTGATGAATGGGCAGAACTGATGTTTCACTGGTGCCTGATCAGAACAAAGAGTAAACGAGCCTATTACTGGACAAGGTCCCCTCTTCGGAGTTACAGGCCAAACTCGCTAACAGGCGAACACCACCCCTACTCTCTAGTATTTTGCAATTTAAATGTGAAAGGACAAAACCTAACATTTAAGAGAGAGTGCTGAAATTAGCAATACTTCTTTGTCTCGCGGTGACTATCTTTTGACGGTGAGAATAGCAAACACTGCTCAGCCCCCCAACCCCAAGCATGGTGGCAAACAGAGTTCAGGTCCTAATTTTCCTACTAACTCCGGAGGGCGACAACTTCAGGCAAGGTATAGTCTCATGTTGTTCCTCGGCTATAACACAAGAGAGGCAGTACTTCCCTCACAGACTGTCAGAAAGCTACAAATGATCATTGATTTACTTAAATCACATCATTAATTCCTAGTGTGTACTGAGGACTTTTAGTTTCTAGTTTAATTCTTTTATGGAATTATTTGGAAAAGCAAAGATGATTAAAAAAAAAAACCAGATTGTAATTCTGGAGGGGGGATAAGAGCAAGGTTTTATGTGATGACTTAGGTTTGTTCTATCATTAAACTTGCGGAAAACACTTTATGTAAGGGAAAGCACCAGATAGAACACACAAAAATTGACAAGTGAAAAACTAAATTTAAATTTATACTGAACAATTACCTCTTTCCGTACAGTCTGTCACCAAGTTACATCTTCATTGTTTCAACCACTTTTGTAAGTGTCCCTTCTCCAACCTTTTACTACCATAGATCAGCATCTCATTCCTTTGTGATGATTTGGCTTATCTACCTCTAACTATATTTATAATCTATCCTTGACAGTCCTTCGTATCACGTTACTATTCCCCTCTTTTAACAAATTTTCAGCTATTCCTCTGAAAGACACAAATCTAGCTCCTTGGTTTGATACAGAGGTTTTCAATGAGTATCTGTAGACACCTCTCACTGAAATAATTGCTCCCTGAACACACCTCATAACCCATATTTAATAACTTGCTCCTTTCACAGATAGCCTTTGAATATGCTACTCTGTCTCAGGAAAACCTACCTAAAGAGGCCTTACTCAACTTTCAAGATTCAGACTAAATGTAATGTCTCCAGAATAGCTGGTTGAGAATAATTCACCTTCTCACCACCACCAAAGAAAACTGAAATGCTGTGTTGGAGTGATGCCAAGGTCTACTGCTTTATATTGTGGACATACATCAACCTGACTGACGGCGTTATTAACAGTGCCTTGTCATCTTTGTACTTCTAGCACACACAGCCTGTGCAAAACTAAGGCTGTGTGAACAAACCAAGAACAACTTAGGAAATACAGAAGCATGTCTTTTGGTGCACTGAAAACCTGGGCTCATGGAAACCTCAGAACACAACTTACACACATGAGGGCACAGAGCATGTCGACAGCCGCATGGATGACACCGTTGTTGTGCCTCTTCAGTGCTTTTACCACTTTCACTCCTAGACGCTCCCGGAACCTTGTGGAACAAGGACAAGCACATGGGATCCTATCAGTACATCTGCTCCGACAACGGAACAGACCCTTCTTCAGTTTCCACTGCGGTATGGGAGACTTTAAATACCTTTTCTGGAATAGATGCTTTCATAATCACGGCTCCTTTGAGCAGGACTGTTCTTAAGGTTAAATACAACTGTAGGGTAAATTATTTCCTATTCAGCTTTTCTACAAGTCAGTAATGGCACTAGTGCGCATGGGACCAGCATCTCCTATCAACCCCCCAAATTGTCCTATTCTTGGCTCGTGAACAGAAACTACCCAGCGGTCATGCAAAGGTACCAGGGTTAAGTCAGACATAAACAAATAAATTATTCAGCATTTTCTATTTTGAGTTGTTCCAAGTCTCTAAGAGAAGCTAAATTCTAAAGGCAACTTACTTTGGAAGCTGAGTGAAGGCCAGAAACCCGGCTTTGGAAGCGACAAGCCTCCTCACAGCTTGGAACTGACTCTCTAGCTCTGCGTTTGAGGCCACGACATCGCCCTCCTGGGACAACAGTGCTGTAATAGCATTATTGATCAGTTTTTCTTTGTTTTCTGAGAACAGGCCCTAGGTGAAGGAAGAGTATTTTCAGGCAAATTTCCATACCAAAAGTTGATGACAATGAACAGACTGTGATTAAAAAAAAAAAAAAAAAACCACACACACGAAAAACTTATCTTACATCCTGTGTTACTGCATGTAGAACTCCACTGTAGGAAATATTAGCATTGAACCTGAATACAGCATCTGCAAAGTTGCCATCTGAAAGGAACAAGTCCAACATGAAGATTTAGAGGCTTCCACTTCCAGTTCTTAAACTACTACCAAGTAGATGGGGTAATATAATTAACATGAAAAATCAAATACTCACTGGGAGGAGTAGCTAAGAATCGGAGGTGTAGGCTCTCCACTTCCTCATCCACGGGCATGCTGAGCAAACCCCATCGCTGACCTTTGTGGGTTGGTGTCATTTTTACACAGACATCTCTGTTCCCAGAGGCTCTTACTCCATCCAGCAAACTTGCTAGCAGGGAATCTCTAAAGCAAGGTACAAAATAAAAATAAATAAATAAGTATATATAAACATTTATTTTTAGTGTGTGTGTGTGTCTCTATATATATAAAGAAGTTATTGGGATTGAAAATTAAAGAGGATTTTGATGTAGAAGGTAGAACAGGCACTTCAGCAAGTGATGTGCTCAGAAATGCACGACAGGGACAAGGCAAGCATGGAGCTTTGGGAGAAAGCCAGGAGTTCTCATACTGCACCTTTACCTTGCTGCTCCAGAAGTTGTTGTTTTTTGTTACCAGTCCTAGGGCTTGAACTGAGGGCCAGTGCGCTATCCCTGAGCTTCTTTTTGCTAAAGGCTAGCACTCTACCACTTGAGCCACAGCTCCACTTCCGGCCTTTTCTATTTATGTGGTGCTGAGAAATCGAACCCTGGGTTTCATGCATGCTAGGCAAGCACTCTACCACTGGGCTACCTTCCCTGCCCGGAAGTTACTTAAAGCACAGTAGTTTTAATATTTTTGTTATGTTGTGTTAATGATGATTCCACAGGAATGGCCAGGTTTTACAATATAAAATCAGGCCAGCCCAATTCACTGGAAAATTGGTAACTACAGATGACACTAAGGTAAAAATAACTTCACATGCATTTAAACTAACTTGCAGCTATATCCAAACAACTCCACCATGGAAGAAGTGCTATTTTGAAATATTTGTAAGGGTATTAGTTATAAAAAATATACTTTGTTTTCATCAGTTCACTTAAAAACAAGCCATTTTTCATGTCTTAAGAATTTGAAAAACTCATCCAGCTTAAATATGTAAATATGTTAGTAATTCCAAAAGTTGTAGATTATAAACATTTGAGATTTTTTTTGAGCTCTCTGCTTTGCACATGCTAAGATCTTAAAAACTTATAAGAATACCTTTCAGTTGAAGAGTATCTTCGAACCTGCCCTTTAATAAATTCAATGGTAAAAAGTTGTGGGTTTTCTGAGTCACAAACCAAAGCAAATACCTAATGAAAACAGAAAGGAAGTTCAACAAAGGATGTTTAATTTTGGTGTGTATCATTACAAAAACTGAATGACATCACAAAGCTTACAAAAGTCACTATTTTTAAAAAATGTAATTTACGGGCTGAGGACATGGCTCAAATGATAGAGCCCTGAGCTCAAACCCTAGTACTACACTCTTACCCAAAACCATCCTAAAAATGTAACCTGCTTAGAAAAAAATTAAGGTTTAAAAGTCCCATTCAAATTTTTTGACATTATGAAACAAGAGGTTCCACTCTTTGTGTATTCAGAAAGTAACTTTTTTGTAGTCTTTGCTACTCCAAGATCAAGAATTTTTTTGGGGTCCGGTCGTGGGGCCTGAACTCTGGGCCTGGGCGCTGTACCTCAGCTCTTCAGCTCAAGGCTAGCGCTTTACCACTTGAACCACAGCGCCACTTCCAGCTTTTTTCTTTTTGCTTATGTAGTGCTGAGGAATCGAACCTAGGGCCTTAGGCATGCAAGGCAAATACTCTACCACTGAGCCACCTTCCCAGCCCTCAAGATCAAGAATATTAAGAAATAATACAGATTCTGACTGTTTTCCATCCTTGTTGTTTTTTTTTTTGGCCAGTCCTGAGGCTTGAACTCAGGGTCTGGGCTCTGTCCCTGAGCTTCTTTGGCTAAAGGCTAGCACTCTACCACTTGAGCCACAGTGCCACTTCCAGCTTTTTCTGTGTAGGTGGTACTGAGGAATCGAACCCAGGGCTTCACGCATGCTAGGCAAGCACTCTACCACTAAGCCACATTCTCAGCCCATGTTTTCCATTCTTTAAGTATGAGTAAACAGAAAGAAAATTAGTCAAAGTGATCAACAGAAGAAAGTGCAGTTAGCCTCATAATGCAGAAAACTTACCTCTCCCAAAGGCTTCAATGTGGCAATATTATAAGTTGCTGGATCTCTTTCTACTAAACATGTCTCTGTAAGTGCCAGCACTCTTTTGATAGGTTCCTTCAAATAATAAAATTAAAATATATTATGAAAATTGTCAAATCACAAGAAAAAAACATTTTTTTAAAATTTTCAACACATAGATCTTACCGGATGTCTAGGAGATATTTTTTGGACCACAAACTCTGCTAAAGATGTGATGGATTCATCTGTGCTGTACTTTCCAAAGCGAAGATTCAAATATTGCTCAAATTCTAAAGGCTCTTTCCTGATCCTCAATGAAATACCTATGTAGTTGCCAGCATGGTCTATTGCGCTCTTGATAATCTCTTCTCTTTGCTCTGATGCAAATAAATGCTGCACAAATTTTAAAATGTAAAAGAGTCAGGGTTGAAATAAGTAAAATATGGCCCATATTTAACCAGAGGAAAAAGATTAGTCATTTTATAAGAAAAAAAAAAAGCCATAGAACTTACCAGAGGTACATACACAGGACCTTATAGTTAGAAATTTCTCAGTTAAAATCATAATGTCTGAGGTATAGAGTCTGGCAAGAACTTATTTGATGGAAATTATCTAACTTCTAAATGTCTAAGTTTTACCATATGTGCAAAAATAGTAAGCACGGCTTCTAAGAATGGGCCCCAAGCAAGTGGGGGTGGGGGAAGGTACTATGTGGGTAGGAGTCTCTATTTTTAATCAAGGAAGTTCTGGTTTTATCTGCCTTACATAGTGAGTTTCTTTGCAAAGATTCAAGATTGTTGAAACATCTTCCAGTCATTGGCCTACTGATGCTACAAACCAACCTTCAAGGCTGTACTGACAAGAAAAAGGATGCAAAGTGCACTTGGTACTTGGCCAAAATGCATTAAGGTCCTGCAAAGGATAGGTAGCAGTGTTCCATACAAGAAAGACTTGTCCTGGCCACAATGCCGACAGTTCTCCTGCTGAGAAGCACTAGATCAGCTCATGTTTAATTTTATTCCCTAGCAACTTATCACAGTCACCATAGCAGCAGAACATACTGAAAAAAAAAAGTTGCTGAATGCTAGGGGTTTGCATTTGTAGTGACCTGCTTCCTTGTAGCTCCTGTCGTGTAAAGGGCAAGACAGCTATTTCTCAGTCTACGTAGGGACTGGGTCCAGGAAACCTCAGCCCAAATAACAAAATCCACAGATGCTTAAGTCCCTTACCTAAAAGAGCATAAAATTTGCATGTTATTTACACATATCCTTCCATGTACTTTAAATCACCTCTAAAGACTGCAAATAGTTCTTATATTGTTTAAGGAATGATGACAAGGACAAAAAAAGTCTGCCCTTGTTCAGTACATGTGCAAGTTTTTCCCGAATATTTCTGATTCATGGTTGGTTGAATCCATGGATCTAGAACCCATAACACATGGAATAATTACTGTATTTACAAAATGGATAATCCCAACAAAAGCTTCTTGCTGTTATCAAACAATATGCTATATTATATATGTTATATATATATATTTGTGTGTGTATTATATATGTGTATATATATATGTGTGTGTGTGTGTGTGTATATATATATATATATATATATATATATATATATAAATCTATGTCAAAGGTGGGCACAGGTAGCTCACAGCTGTAATCCTACTACTCAAGAGATCTCAAACTCCTGAGGATCACAGTCTGAAGGCAGCCTGGGCAAAGAAGTCTGTGAACCTTATCTCCAATAAACTACCCAGAAAGAGTTGGAACTGGCACTGTGGTTCAAGTGGTAGAGTGCTAGCTTTGAGCACAAGAGGTTCAGGCACAACACCTAGGCCCTGAGTTCAAGCCCCAGGTCAAGCAAAAAAAAAAAAAGTATCAAATAATATCCATCTTTAATGTCCACTGTATGGCTGGTTGTACTATCTGGACAGTCATGCTGCCAGGGCTTGAAAAACATATCCCTATAATCCAGCAGGTTTTCTACCAAGAGGTAAATCAGTGCAAACATCCGCTACCCAGGGAAGAGACAGCGGTCAGGGCAGCACCAGGACAAATAGCTTTAGGTTGCTTTGAGGTGAGAAGGAAACGTGCTTTTCTTTAGGCCTTCTGCTTCAGTGTCTCGAATAAACTATGTACCAAGATATCTAGCTGATGTTCCTAATCGAGAGAAACAAGGATGGTACCTGTTATCATGTGAGGACAGTGTGAGATCTAGGACAGAAAAAGGCCTGTAACTCTAAAAAGCAAATTATTCTTCACAAACCAGATTATCCATAATTCCCATTATTCTGTTAGCCTTTCTTCTGCTGCCATCTATGCTCTTACCTATCTAAATATTCCGGGCTTGCCTTGCTCTGCAATGATATTTTGTCCACAAAACACTAAATCTCAGTGTAGTGTTACCAGGATACTAAAATAGCTATTGGAATCAAAACACTCCAGAGAAAGAAATCTTGCAAACAAAGGCAGCTGGGCCTGTCCATTTAAAGATTTTTTTTATTTTAATTTTAATTTTTTGTGCCATTTAAAGATTTTAACTGCTCATCTTTGAGATCTGATGTTTCAATTTTATTAACACAAGGTATTTTTTTCTAAGATGGCCATAATCTGTATTTCAGTTTTTATTAATGATTAATAAACAGGATCTTGGCCTCTTCAGTAGCTTTTGCTGTAACTCACACAATTTGTTAATCAATAAGTGAGAATTAGAAGATGAAATCGTGCAATTCTAAATTTAAAATTTCAATAAATATTCAAATTTCCTTTCATAAACAGTTTGATAAAAGACAGAACACTCTTTTGAGCCTGCTCAACTGGTACTGAACCCTATCTCCTGTTTTTTCTGGTTTGTTTCCTTTTGTTTGCTAAACAAGACTATAGGTATAAACTGCCGTGTACAACTTGTCTCTAATTACTTGTGTTTTTTTTTCAAAAAAAGAAAATGGAAACTTTCAGGTTAAAATAGTAGCACTAATAAAAATAACAACAATAACATTACTAATCCCCACCGTGCAAAAAGACATTTTACATTAAGTGTCTTAACCAAACAACAGGAAGAACGTACAATGTACAAGGGCTTCAAAAGAGTTCAAGCTCAGTTATCATTGACACCAAAGCCTATTGTTTTTATACTATACTTCCTCCCAGAAAACTCATATGAAAATCAAAATGAAGTGTAAAAGATCCTGTTCCCTTTCTAAAATACTACTTACCAATCTGCTAAATCCTCCGTAAAGTATGCAAAAACCCCCTTGATAATCGGAGAGATCTACAAAGCCTTCAATGTTTCTGTAGTCGTAGGAGCACAGTACTCTATTGGTTGCAGGATTTATTTGGTCAAAGCCTCCGGGAGTTACTTCCAAAATTACAGGTTTCCTTGTGTCACTCCAGTGATGCTTATAGCAGTTATATCTCTAGAGAGAAATATTATTACTTTCAAAGTTCAAATGTAAGCTTACCAGAAAATAAAACCTCACTGAACGTATGCGTCAAAAACAATCAAAAAGAAAAATCTAAACAATATAAATATGTACAGGTACTATCAAAATTGTCAAATCGTTCATCTCCATGCGTGTGGGTGGGAGGGTGCTGTTTATTTCATAAGGAATGTTCACTCTACTTGAAAACATGTTCTTTAATTAACCAAGTTTTAAGGGTTACAGTTTGTAAAACAACTTTAAGCTACTTTTATAAAAATATAGATAGAGTATGTGGCAGGGGGAGAGGGGGAGAATCCAGCCGAGCATGACAGCATTTGTCTTTAGTCCTAGCTACTCAATGCTGAGGCAGGGACTGACTGTCAGAGCTAAGGGTCCGGGAGCAACCTGGGCAACAAACAACAAATGGAGCAGAAAGTTTCATGGAGGCTACTAAGCCAAATGATGTGGTACCAATAAAAATAAACTTAAAGGAAAAATAAGGGTAACAATGCACTAGATTCGAAATAAGTATCATCTCCTACACCCAAATGCCACAATGTTTTTTTATCCATCTAGATGGAGATCAATGTGTGGCCAATCACCCAACTCTAAAGGTAAAAATGGCCACTCCAGAGAACAACACGTTTTGATACTGAGGGAAGAAATTCTCTGGTAAGTTTCAAAAAAGAGCAGGACACTCAAAGAAAGGAACACCTGTGCAACCATCCCCATCCCAACACTGAACTCCGCAGTGACCTTCAAGGGGTCATTTCACATGAGTGACCTATAGCTCTATGCCCTGCCCAGTTCTGTAAAAAAGAATTCTGCAGGAAAATGAAAGTGCCTGCAGTAAGCCAAGGGTATATTTAGAGCCTTGACTGTGAACTAAAGGACAGATGGATGCAGAAATGGGATTGAGAGGCAGGACACAAAAGAGACGATGTTTTTCAAACTATGACTGCTACATGTCTCAAACCCACTGCACAGGACTTTCTCCATTCCTCCCAGCTGATGGTCAGCTGTCACAATGAGGAAGGCTGATGGGAACATGTCATTATCCTTAACAACTGTAGCAGAGGCCAAGCCTAAAGGATTTGGGGAGACACTGATTTAAAATAGACTAACTAGGACAGTGGAAGGCCTCGGGGCCAAATTCAACTTATATAAGAGCTGCTCGGCCAGAACAGCATTTTTTTGGCGGGGGGAGAGGGGGAAGCCTCCATTCTGGGGGAAGAAGTTTAAGTGGCATTTGCAGTTGCTCACTCCTAACGTATGTGATGATACTGGTTCAACTTCTGCGGTCTGAAAAGTATTAAGTGAATGAAGCCAAGTGACCTAAAAGGAAGCTTCTGAACAAAAGCAAGTTGGCTTTTAGAAGGATGTGCTTTCCAAACAAAGGCGATACATAGGAAACCCAGCAGCCAACATAAGATAATGAAAATAAGCACACTGAATTAGGATTTGTAGAAATCTGATGGGGGCTCATCGGGAGCCACAGGCCAGCACTGTGCCATTCTGTATGCAAGAGTTTTAAACGGTTGCTGGGCAAGTGGCCAATTGCTAGAGTTGAAATCAGGCAGGCCGTGGGTGAATACAAGCGGTGGAATCCTTGCAAAGAGGCTGAGAGCTGGGGACCGAAAGGAATGGTGCTGCCAGCATACTGGAATTCAATTCTTGCCTTTTGCCAGAAGCCATGGTTTTGAACGGTACTGTAAATTTAGGCATTATTTTCCACCTCTGAAAAAGGAATACCTGAGGCTGGGAAGATGGCTCAGTAGTAGAGTGTTTGCCTTGTATACATGAGGCTCTGGGTTTGATTCCTCAGCACCACATAAACAGAAAACAACAGAAATGGCACTGTGGCTCAAGTGGTAGAGCGCTAGCCTTGAGCTGAAGAGCTGAAGGACAGTGCCCAGGCCCAGAGTTCAGGCCCCACAACCAACCAAAAAAAAAAAGGAATACCTGGTAATAAATGTAATAGCTCAAGAGAGCGTAGCTTTGGTGCTACTGTAAGGTATGGCTACAGCCTGGGGAACGGAAGATGCTGGGAGCAACATGATTTCCCCCGAAGCTGTCGGTGCACCATGCCAAGCTTTAGAATGGGCCAGATGGACTACAAGAATGCATAATAAGGCAGCTGCAGTGTGCTCAAATCTTAGAACTTTTCATACTTTTCAAATAAGAAACTTCTGTGTCGAGCAATACTGCCTGTTCCAATAAGCTTTACCATTAGTATGATACATAGTAGTATTGCTGTGTAGAGTACTGAATAAGGAGCACCTGGATTGTTATACATTTGTAATGTTCCATGGGTGTGTGTTTGTTTTTTGCTTGTTCTTTTTTTTTTGGTCAGTTGTGGGGCTTGAACTCTGGGCCTGGGCGCTGTCACTCAGCTCTTCAGCTCAAGGCTAGCAGCTCTACCACTTGAGCCACAGCACCATTCTAGTTTTTCTCATGGAGTTTCCTGCCCAGGCTGGCTTTAAACCGAGATCCTCATATCTCAGCCTCCTGAGAAGCTAGGATGACAGGCATGAGCCACCGGCACCCGGCTCTTGCTTGCTCTTTTGATGTGGCTACTGAAGTTTGAACTCAAAGCCCTGATCTTCCTGGGGACTCTACCACTAGAGCCACATCCTTAGGTCCTTTTGCTTTTGATTTGTTGTTCAGGTAGTCTCATGTTTTTGCCCAGGCCAGCCTTGGTCAACAATCTTCCTGTTCTTGCCTTCTTAGTAGTTGTGATTATAGACATCCATCACCATACCTGAGCCTACCACAAGCATCCCAGGGTTTTAATGTGTTTGACTTGATACATTTTCCCCTGTTTGCCAGAATTAAGTCTTCTTCTTGACACAACAGTTTCCTGCTCAGATAGATTTATCTCTCTATGTGACATTGGGAGCTGTCAAAATTATATTTCCTTTTGGCTTTATCATAAAAATAACATGGAAGTTATAAGGCATGATTTCTACAGTAAAGGACAACAAATAAAAGAATGTAGTTTTAAAATGTCAAATATTTACCCTTCCTGTGATTTTTCCCTCTGAAAAATCAGTTCTAAATCTCTGAAAGAGAAAACATAACCATAGTTTGTGAAAACAGACTGGCAAGAGACCTGGTTCGCCCCCCCTTGTTTACCCAAAAGAAGTAAAAATCACAATGGAGTTAACTTGGTAACTATCAAAGTTATAGGTTAGGCATATTTAATCTAAAGACTATAGAACTTTATCCATGAACAAGAACAGATTAAACATGCAATGCTTTGTCCTGACCATGCATTTTAAAAAGCTAATAAAATCCTAAATATGAGACTTCCAGTTTTTATGTTAAAGAAAGTGAATGTCTCACAGTATCCAGTTAATGGTTAATGAGAGAAAACAAAAAAATACTGATCAAGATGCATGGTACTCATAAATGGACTTGCTAAATGGTAACTCTTGTACAACTACTTGGATGAGAATAAAAACATAATTGAAAAAATAAGCATAATGGGTATGAGATGAAAACATCACTATCTAAGTATTTCATTAAAAAAAAAAAGAAAGATTTCGTTCAGAAACAGAACCTTTCTTACCAACGCTTCTGTAAGGAGTTCAGTTCTGTGCTCTGTAGAAAACTTTAAAGTTTCTGACTTTTTCCCAGTGCCTTTACGAAACGTGAGATTGAACTCTGTTCCCTGTCCTTTTCCAACAGGGCTGATGCTGCAAATGTCTCCATAAGGCCACTGGTAAGAAGAAAGGGATTTTTTTTAAACTGCTGCCACAGTTAATATAATAAAATGCAGTATTTATTTTTTCATTATCTTACACTCACTGACTAAAGTAGCAAAATTTTATACAATACTAATGGTCTAGAAGGTTTATCTTATAAGCAGTTCTACAATTCAAATTCCCTCAAGGTTAGTCATAAGAAACAACAAAAATCCATATTACCAACATTAATATAAAGCGTCTCAAACAGTGAAAAGAATTAAAAAAGGTCTTAAGGGTTACTTGTGTCCACTAGGAAAGACAACTTGTAAGTATGTCTAAGTTGGAATATCTTTAAGTATGTTTACTTATTACCCAGGTTCAGTTAATCTTGCCTAAAAGCAAGTAATCCTAGTTCCAAGACAAGCATTTTATACCAGTTACTTGAAGTATGACTAATATATGCTTGTATTAAATAACCGTACACATAAAGACAGATGGCTACAATCAATAGTAATATATCAAAAGTTATACCCTTGAAAATTTAGATGTAAACATATCCCTCTCCCCCCATATCTTTCTTTATTTTTGGTCCTGAGCACAAAGTATGAGATAGAAGTATAGAAACATCTTTCAGATTTGACATTTATATCCAGAGATACTGGTTTCAGGAAATGGTGAATGGGTTCTATCCTAGCTTTTAAAATTCAGGAGGTTTTTATATACAAACTCTTAACAGCAAAAAAAAAATTTAAAAAAAAACTCTTAACAGCTAAAAACATAATTACCTGATTTGTTACTTCTAAGGTATTGGGATTATATGTAGTAATTGCATGGGTTCCAATTGAAAAGACTCGTTTATACCTGTGAAGGGAGACATGTGCTTACTTTAATCTTAAAAAGTCATGTAAGAAAACATACATGATATCAAACACAAAAGGAATGTTTATTCCTACATTTTTAACATATCCCTTTATGAATACTATCTTGACCATAACCACCCCTTCTGTTATTTCATTCTCACATTTTTCATGTCCTAAAATGTTATTAGAATTAAAATCTACCTACCGTTCATTTTACTGTGAACTATTAAGATTCCTACCTAGAAAAATATGGCCCATGGATGCAACCTAGACCAAGTTCACGAGCTATCAGTTGAAGATGTACAAAGACAGTTAAAGGAAAATTTTTATGTCAATGAAAGACACTGTACACTACAAAGTCTTTCGAAATATCCTTTCAACAAAACTATGATGGGAAGGAAGGGGAAAAACTATGGTTTGCAATGGTCAGACACAGCCGTAGCCTAGCCTTCTGATATCTACTTGAGCAACTCCTTATTGCATTTAGTTGCTGCAATTCTATAGGAAGGCTACACCCCAAACACAAAATTTTCATGGCTTAAGTCCTTCACTTAAAG